CGGGTCGCCGGGTTGTTAACGCAGCGCGCTAACCGCGACTCGACCGCTCTCCCAAAGACGCATACACTCGCTGCCACAACCTCACGGGACAGATAACAACGGTGCGACATGAGGGGCTCCGAGGGGGAGGAGGAGGAGAGAGGGGAAGGGGCCGCATCTCTGTCTAAAGTTCACGGCGAGCACGGACAGTGGAGGACACGAGCCCACCGACGGTGACAGCATCCGCTCGGTGCGGGTTTGGTCACGAGCGGCACCGCACGGCTGCCTGAAGTCCGATCTTCACTACTGCAGCGCCCTCACCCCCCAGCCCCCGAAACAAGTGTGGGATCTCACCTCAGTCTCGCTCGCCGGTAACAGCCCCGGCACGGACTCTGTCTCCAACTTCGCCTGCACTGCCGTCTCCACCCCTGTCTCCGTTGTTGCCTCCATCCTCACCTCTCCCGTGCTCCCCTTCCTGACCCGGCGCGGCTCCAGCGGAGAGTGCGCCCGCCGTCACAGCTGCCCACACCGTTAGGTCTCCGCTCCCATCCCACTCCCGCCCTCGGCTGGCCCCGCCTGCCCTCCCTCCCTCCCTCTCTTCTTCTCGACTCCCACTTTCCATCCTCGGCTCCCACATCTCTGTGACTCCTCCCAAAATCACTCCTCCCCCACCTCTCCCCGTCACTCCGCTCTCTAAATCCGGCCGCGCGCTCCGATTGGCCGAGTGTGGGTAAGTGCATCACTTTGTCAAGTTTTATCTCCGCTGCTGATTTCCAGGGTCCCGAGCGCCGCTGACGCACGGGGTCACCTGTTGCTGCTGCTGCATCGCGTGTGCGTGCATGGGTGAGTGCGTGATTCGTGCCAACACACGGGAGGGCACCAACACCCTCAAGCAAGCACTCGTACGAGATCACACACTCACTCGGGATTACACATACAGCATCACACGCGCCCGCGCACACTCACTCACACGTGCTCACATATCACACAAAGGGATTACACACAAGCACATGCCCATACAAAGACAAATTTCACACGAAAAGCCTGAACAGACTGCTGGGGGAAGTGTGTTAGCGAGCATCTACGAAGGCTGACACGACGCATGACAGGGTGGGTCGTCACCACCACGCCCGGCTGCCTTTGTCTCCCCAGTGCGGATGTTGTTTACACACCACACCAGGCACTCAATTGAGCCAAATATTTACAACTATCACTGGTCGTAAGTGTGAATATAACTCGGGTCGCCATATTTGTAGCGCAGCGGGCAAACCACTGCACCCACCAGCGGGGCGTACTGCTGGCCACCCAGCCCCTCGTGTGCCGTGCCGGCCTCCATAGGTGCTACTCGCTAACAGCACTTGCCTCGAAATTCTGTGAAAGGCTATCCGGAGAAGATCTGACACGCAAAAACAACAACCGCTGTGCAATACGAAGTGGCGGTGACGTCACCATGGCACTTGTGCCAAGCTAAGTGCACACACACACACACACTCACGCACTACTCAAGCGTATGACACACGCACTCGCACGCACGCTCGCTCAGGCCGCCACCGTGCCCAGAGCTCGCTGCTTTGAATCACTTGGCGCGGAGGAGGAGGAATGCAGCGGGCTCTTGATTACTTAAGGCCTCTATGGTCCCTCGTGGAATTACGGGGCTTTGCCTCCACATACCAGACATTCTCAATCTGCCGGCAACTCGTCAGTGTGCCGAGTCCTGTGCGGACCACCGCTATGACATCACACGGCCTCTGAGCTTCTCACCTGCGCAGCCCCCACACCTGTGCCGGCCCAGTGCGGGGTCCCGCCATCGGTCCCCACAGGTAGCTACCGTCTCTCCAGGGCTCGGCTGCATCCCGTCTTACCCGCTCTGCTCTGGGTCCAAAGGCTTCCGCTCACAAAATCCCCGGAGTCCAGCTGCATTTGCCACGCATCCTTGTTGCACTTCAGGGCCCGATCATCTCTCTCACGTGTTCCAGTTAGACACTGGGGCCCAGCCGCCCCTCAACGCCGTCCCCGCTCACATTTGGTCGCAGCGTGTCCGACGTTCCGGTCCACGCGTTGGGGCTTCTTTGAAGAGTCTTGAAGAAGCTGTATCGTTCAGCTCCTTCGTAATTGTAAAAAGTCCCAGCAAAATTAAAGAAGCTCCCAGCATTTGGAGCGAAACGTCAGACTTCGTGCCGAACAAACCGTGGTACAACCCGAGCACGTGCTGCAGAGATGTATCAGCGTAGATATCAACCCCCACGGCACACACATTGGTGAACAACACCGAGGCCTGGACCCCCCCCCCCCCCACCTTCTTCCCGAGCCTGGAACCCCTCAATCCCCTGGGCTCCCTCTGCGGCACTTTGCCATCGCGTGGGACGGAATCCCTCTCGGTGCGGGAACGCTGCCAACTCTCGATTCCCTCCCCCCCCACCCCCACTTTAATCTACAAAAATAATATACCGTAATAATAACGTCATTTATTAATGCGGGAAAGCCTCGGTAAAGTCTCCAGGCTTCTTGGGGAGGGTTTCATGCCGCAACGTTTGGCCAATTGCTTCATAACTAAGGAGCGTTTTGTGTGGGAGGGAACGGGAGTGGCGGGACAGGAACCCCTGCACCACGCTGGCACGAGGAACTACTACAAGCGCCACGCAACCCTCCAGGTACAGCGCTGCCACCATCTCCAAAGCCACCACCGCCCAGCCCTCGGTGGGTGGCCCTCGCGCACGCTCCCTTATTTGGTAGCGAGTCCAATCGGCGTGAGGAGGGAGTCTTCGGAGGGGCAGGAGTTATCGGCTCATCGGCCGCTCCCCCCCCACGCCATTCCCGCACGCGACACCTGCGGCTCGCGCCGTCCCAGGACCGCTTCACGTCCCAATACGGCTCATCGCAGCCAGCTTGTGTCAATCTCGCCTGTGAGTCCACTTAGCATCGGCGCCAATTGCAAACGATTGTATCTTAAAATAATAAATTGATACGTGGTAGAATTACATTTTGAGCTGACTTGTCACGAATGTAATGTTTCGTATATTTTTGTGCCTTTTGTCATTTTCATAACAAAGGTTATTTTGGGTTAGATCGCGTAAATATAAATGTGTCATTAACCCATCACCACGCGACACAGCCAATTACTAAGGCTTGTGACGTAAACAAAATGTGCCAATTCGTTATTACTTCAGCACACCGTTGGAGAGTACACCAACAATATTGACAATTTGAGTACAACGTTTCGCTGGTGATTACAATCAGCAGCATACGGTCGTGATAAAGATACCTTCATTAAAAATGCTCATAGACAATAGTGCACCAACCTTGTACTAGAGGATGACCACTCGAAGTTAGCATGACAGGACAATGTACGAGGTGTCTGCAATCGCCTCTTGTCTACGTCAGATGGTGCCAACTTCTGGCGTGCCCTGCTACGGAGGCATTCATCACGTGGCAATCAAATGGAAATGTTTATATTTTTTCTTAGAGCTGGAATTCGCCAAATTAGGTGATAACCGAGTGAGCCATGATGGTTCCTTTGTGTGGACTTTGGTGAGTGGCCAGAGAACAGGATCCCGCTGCACTCGAGCGCCCGGTCTACTCACGAGTGACTCGGAGCGCAAACGCCGACGTTGACTGGTGGCAGCTGTGCCGGCTCGGCACCCTTGCCCGGGGTGAATCTTTGAGCCGTACAGCTTCGCACGGATCGTAGTCAAATGTTTTTTACCATAAACTCTGTGGAATCGCCCCTGCCGATCACTCCCCTCTCATCTCACTCAACTCCACCTCCACTGATTCTCCTATCTCTCCCCTCTCATCTCACCACACTCCCCACCTCCAAGCACTCTCCGCTCCAGCAGCCAAAGATCTCTGTCGAAGCCCCCAGTCAAACTCCACTCAGTGGGAGGCCGCTCATGCCACTCGGCGGGAATTTGCTTTCCCCAAACATCCATGCTGTCGACACCCTGCCCCTGTTCATGTCCTGCCTGAAGAACTTCATTTTTTCCTTCTGCCTATGGACTCACTGCCTCTTTCTTAGTCACTATAAACAAAACACGCTCACCGTTGCCACACGGCCTCTTGAGATGTGGTGGCATTTAGACACCGCACCCGGACTGCGACAGTTTTGTAGGTGAGCTGAATGTTATCACAGCTTCATGGCTCCCCTCCCCCCGGGCCGTGGGGTAGCGGTGGAGAGGAGGACGCGGGAATGTGGGCCGCGGCGGGACGCGGCGGCGAGAGACACGGGGGAGCCTTTAAGGGTGCGTAATGCAGACCCGCACCGAGCACACAAACCAACGCAGCGGCTGGGCTGCCGGGCGCTAGGCCACCGAGACGGCGGAATTGAGCTCCTCCCGCCCGGCGTGCCCCACGGGGTCTAGCGCGACGTGCTGCGCAAAACTCGACTTCTGAATCCCCGCGGCTGCCGCGTCTCGGTCAGCGTGTCCGTTGGCAGAAAAGTGGCCATGCGCCTATCGCGTAAACACGTGAGGGTACACGTTATATATATATAAACTAGGTCGTGTAACTGGGGCCTGCGAGCGCAGACCTCGAGCCCCTTATATAGGAACACTGTAGCCCGTCTCCAGATGATATCGGTCGGGTTTGTTTACGCACTTCACAGCAGTCAACGGCAACGCCCAGCGCGAGCAAACTCACGCTATCGCACCCCCCCCACCTCTCTCTCATCGCCCCACGTGCCCCCCACCACTAGAGGGAGTAACGATGCAAAACCACCAATTCATATGGTTCTTCCATACGATGCATGTGTCAAACGGCGTCGGAAGGTTTCCCCGACTCCCATAGCCAACCCAAGGCTGCTACGTTCACGTCACGACTCTTTAAGGGAATCGTGACAATTTATCGAAGATAATTGTTACGCCGCTATCCGTGACAGCTGCCACCTACCACAGGCGTGATCTACACTAGCTGCTGTCTGCCACAGCACCCGGTCAACCATGAACACAGCTTGCCACACACTCGATCTGCCACTGTACGGGCAAGGGGAGTGTGGCGGAATGGTATTACCGGGAATCGCAACTTACCCACGAATCTCTCGCCGGTCGGGACTCCCACCGGCGCACACCGCCACCTCCTCGCTGGTGCTGGAAGATCGTCTCGTCGCTTCGAGCGACACCGTCAGACCTGCTGGCACCGTCCATGCCGTCGCCGGTGTCGGCGGCTGGTACCGCCTGCTGTCGTCGCTTTGGCAGCTTTCGCCGCAAGTAAATCGCCTTACGCCGGCTCAGGTGCGAAGTGCCGGTGCGATCCAAGTTCGTCATATTCATACCCAGGGCCCAGGTCCTCTCGCCGTCCCGTGCATCACTCGGCTCCTCCGTGTCGTCGTCCTCCTCCACAGCACGATGAGGAGGACGCTCCACCTTGTCGGGAGGCTCCGACCGCCCGGGATCGCTACCCTCAGTGTCATCAGCGTTGTCCGTACGGCCTCTCGTCGCTTTCACATCCAGGTAGATGCAGCGTTTGGGGACGGAGCCCTGCGGCTGCGCCGACACCAGCTCAGCCTCCTCCTTCTCCTCCGCATTCTCCTCCTCCGCCTCCTTCGCTTTCTCCATCTGTGTCTCGGTGAGGAAGGAGCACCACGACTTGGGCCTGCAAATGCGAATTATCCGGGGCCCTCCTTTCCGGCGGAAAAAGTTGGCCGAGTTGGCGGCATCTGGCGGCGCACTGGCCGGTGGCGCGTCGGCCGGCGGCGCGCCTCCCGGTGGCCCCGTGACGGGTGGCACAATGAATGGTGGCTGCCGTCTGCTCGGCGCGGTTGTCCCCACTTCCCCTCGGCGCGGGGAAGCCGACTCTGGCGGTGCAGCAATGCGATCGCCGCTCGAGCCGTCTAGGCCGCCGGCGGCGGCGGCGGCGACCCCACGCTGCACGTCGTGGCTGCTCGTGCCGCCGCCGGGTGCGGCCAGGCCGAAGGTGGCCTTGCCGTGGCCGAGGGCCCCGTCGGGCCGGGCGTGGGGCTTGCCGGATGCGTAGAGTGAGTCGCCGTCGCTCAGCTTCTCCATCGCGTGGAGCGAGACGGGCCGGCGCAGGGTGGCGGCGTCGGAGGCCTCGCCCTCCTTCTCCTTGCGCAGCGCGTACTGGGACGCACTCCTCCTCAGCGCCGTCGAAAACTCGAGCCTCTTCCTGCAGGGCGAGTCCGCTCCACGGTCGCCCCACACGCGGCTGCCCCTCACTGAGGAGTTCCGCGTCAACGGTCTCGGCACCGGGACGGCCGTCGCCGTCGCGGAGTCTCCGACGGCCTCCGCGGCGACGACGGCCGCCTCCCGGCTGGGAGAGCTGGCACCTTGGATGCCATGCAGCAGCGACGAGGAGAGCAGGTCGTCCACGGTGAAGGTCGGGGAGACGTCTCGGACGCCGCGCGCGGTCGTACCGTTCCCTAAATGCTCACTGTAAAACCCGTGGAAGACCGCGCGAGCGGAGTGCGCGGCGGTGGCGTCGCGGGCGGACTGGGCGGCGCCGCCCGCGTCTCTACCGCTCGCGCCGCGCGCGATGGCGAGCTCGGAAGGGCGCACGCATCGTGCCTCCTCCACGTACCCCGATCCGATCGGGGTAGTGGCCGGTGCCGGACGAACAGCGGAGCGCGCGTCTCCGGGCCGCGTGCCGCAAGCGGGGGGCCGCGTCCGGGTTTCGGTCTCGCCCTCATCCGGGGCCAGGCGAACTTTAAACCCCCTCCGCGGGCTTTGCGAGAGGTCAGCGGTGGGCGGCTCTAGCTTCTGCGTTTCCATCTCCCCGAGCGACAGCCTCTCGCCGAGCACTCCCACACAAGCGCCCTCCTGTGGCAGCTGGGCAGAGGCCCTGGTCTGCCAATGCTGACGTGCACCGGCATCCCCATCCGGATGCGGCTGCAATTCACTTTGTACCTGCTGGAAACCGCCGCCGCCGGACGACTGCAATGTATTCTGGGGTTGCGGCAGCAAAGCACCGTGGGTTGAGGATTTCCATTGGTCACTGGAGAGGAGCGATGACTTGGTGGTCTCTCTGGAGGGAGGTAGAGATGATTTGTGGCTCGCTTTCGAGAGCGGTGGTGAAGGCTTCCAAGTCGCTCTGAACGATGATGGCGGAGATGATTTCCGGTCCTCCTTCAATGAGGATGGTGGTGGTGATTTCTGGCTGTCTCTGTATGAGGATGGTGGTGATGAGATCTGACTGTCTCTGTATGAGGATGGTGGTGATGACTTCTGGCTGTCTTCGTATGAGGATGGTGATGATGATTTCTGGCTGTCTCTGTATGAGGATGGTGGTGGTGATGAGTTCCGGCTGTCTCTATTTGAGGATGGTGGTGATGATGATTTCTGGCTTTCTCTGTATGAGGATGGTGGTGATGATGAGTTCCGGCTGTCTCTATTTGAGGATGGTGGTGATGATGATTTCTGGCTTTCTCTGTATGAGGATGGTGGTGATGATGAGTTCCGGCTGTCTCTATTTGAGGATGGTGGTGATGATGATTTCTGGCTTTCTCTGTATGAGGATGGTGGTGATGATGAGTTCCGGCTGTCTCTATTTGAGGATGGTGGTGGTGATGATTTCCAGCTGTCTTCGTATGAGGATGGTGGTGATGATTTCCGGCTGCCTTTGTATGAGGATGGTGGTGATGACTTCCGGCTGTCTTCGTATGAGGATGGTGGTGGTGATGATTTCCGGTTGTCTTTGGATGAGGACCGTGGTGGTGATGAGTTCCGGCTGTCTCTATTTGAGGATGGTGGTGGTGATGAGTTCCGGCTGTCTCTATTTGAGGATGGTGGTGGTGGTGATGAATTCTGGATATTTCTGTTTGATGATAACGATGGTGATGATTTCTGTCTGTCTTTGTATGAGGATTGTGGTGGTGATGATTTCCTGTTGCCTCTCAACCAGTTTGGAGTTGCTCGGTGCTCTGAGCCGCTCGGTGCGATCTTCTGCGATTGGGATCGAGCCAGGCCCAGTCGCTCCTTGTGCTCCAGAGTGTAGTCAGTGCCAAACTGGAAGGGCAATGATTCGTTCGCCTGGAACTTCTGCGCACGCTCACGCACGGAGCTGCTCCTGCCCAGAGTCCCCGACATGAGCACGGAGTCTGGGGGGCCAAAGCATCATCATTAGCAACATCATTCATTCGCATCATAATCATCACCACCATCGACCAAACATCCACATCAAAACAATCATCTGGGTGGGTTGAAATGCTTGTGAGGTGCTGGCAAAAGTCTAGAAATTCAGAATTTGTTCGGTGAATAATTGATATTAGTTAGAAATAAAAGAATAACTTCCAGGCCTTTGTCAATTCGTTGGTGAATGAAGGCATGGCGTGTGAGTCATGCAAGTCGACGTGACCTTACTTCACCGTACTTAATTCACCGCTTTGATCAATGTGGAGTGTCGAGGGACTCGGAACCGGCTAAGATATCATTCGCACCTGATGCAGGAATTGAACTCATGTTGGCGGGTTTACAGTACAGCATGCTAGAAACTGCACTATTGTTCATAATCACTTCCAAAATCACAATACCAAGTAATCAATTAGAAACGAGATCAAAATGTATGGGCAAAATGATCAGATTGTTACACTCGGTGCAGAACACTTGGCGATGTTAATAAACGAATTCTCAAGTCAGGCGGCTTCAAGGAAGAGTGTGTGGCTTCGCAATCGGAAGGTCTTGAGTTAAAATCCTGGTCGGAAGATGACTTAGCCAATAATTCCTCTAACTACCACTTTGTGGGGAAGTGAAGAGTGCTTGTCCTATGGTTAGACTTGGCACAACCACAGGAATTCGGAATCTCCACCACGAGCTCACTGCTATAAACAAGGACATTACTTTTGACTTTGAATGTTACAAGTGAGTAACCTGACAAACAAAATCCAAGGTGATGATGATGATGGTGGTGGACATGACTGATGACCTCATTACCTGTGTAGATGTTTCTTTTGCCAAGATAGGAGCTCATGGATGACTTGTCGTGACTCGCCTGGCCCATGTCTATCTGCAACACACACACACCACCAAGCCATGTGACACCACACCACTGCACACCACCCCATGCCACACACATACACCAAGCCACATCACATGACACCACCCCATACCAAGGCAAGTAAAACCAATAGATGTTATTACAAAAAACCTTGGAAACAAGATGTTTCATCTCAAGTTTTAATCCAAGTAAAATCATTTAATGATATAAAATGTACGCACCGAAACACGCGGAACCACACCAAATACTTGTAGGCGAATGGGAAAGTGTGCAACGTAGCACCAAGTACAATTATACACGAGTTCTTAATCTCCGTCCGGATGGATCCCTCCACTTCTGGGTAGCAAGCCCAGCTTCTTGTATCTTACATCGCTACTCCACTGCTCCACTGTCCAATACATCGATGCTTGGGGGGGGGGGGGGGTGCCGAGCCAGCCCGGCGTGGCTCAGGGAGGCTAGGGGCGCACGCAATGAACAAATCGAGACGCCTGTAGACAATGCGGTGACACTGCGCTTGAGTTGTATTGACTGACATCGCACGTAAGGAACACCAGTCGTTAGCCTCACCCTTGCCCTGCTTGGCCCAGAGCTAGATTCAGGTGCCTTGTGGGGCCAGCGTATCAGGGTTTGGTTGTGGCTCCGCATGGCAACGAGCCAGTGGAAAACAACCTGTACTGGAATGGCCCTGCGATGGCTCAGCTAGGATGTGCCAGTGGAAGAGGGGTGAGAACTCCCTAGAATCACTCACTCCACTACTAGCACCACCATAGCAGCAGCTATCGTTTTCGCGTCGAGACATGAACCACGACAGGTCCGGCGGAGACAGCCTCCCGGTCCGCGGACTCACCTGTGCACCGTGGTCCGTGGCCCGGGACCCTCCCTCCCTGCGACTCGCCACTCCGCCGCTGCGAGCCACGGAGGTGAGGAGCCACGTGTCGCCGTACCGCGAGCGGCCGCGGTGGGTCCTGGCGTCCCACCGCCCGACTGGCTCCTCGTCCTCGCTGGAGCCCCCGTCCATGGCCCTGGGCAAGTCGGTACCGCCGCTGTAAGCGTGGGAAAGTCCCAGCCCGTGGCTGGGAGCAGCGTACGCACCGCAATCTGGCTCCAACTGCGCGTCAGAGCACACGGTCTCCCGCTGCACGGCTCTAGATGGCATTTCTAGAGGACGAAATAATGGGGACAAAGAGGCACATTTATACACACGTGTGGCATCGACAGCTACCACCATCACCGTGACCATATCACCACCGCCGTGACTAAAAAAGCCGCCCCCCGTGACCTGATAAGCATGACTGCATCACCACCACCGTAACCAAATAACCCCTACTGTGACCGTATCGCGACAACCGTGACCACAACTCCACTACGGCTGTATCGCTGCCCTTGGTACAGAGGGGTGAGACACGAATACACAAGCTCATGCTGCAGAAACACTCCTCACAGCGCAGAAACACGCGGCGCATCAACCAGCCAGACGATACCTCCATACAACAACCTAGACAAAACCTCGACACAACACCCATCCGGTATGATCAGGACCGAACACAGCGAGTGGGAAAAAACCCTGTTTTGCTGGAGAGTATGGCTGTAAGTTTGTAAAAACTTTGTTAAATTGGTTGAACAGATTCTTCTGAAAAACTAATCTCACTCAAGACCAGGACTCGGATTTAAACATCATGTTTTTTTTTACGATGCAATAGATTAAAAACAGAAGACAAATTTTCATTTGTATAAGTATGTAGCGAGTTTTGCTACTTCTAATTTTAGCTTATTCGAGGACATTTACAGGCCAAGCGGTGGCACAGCGGTTAGCTCAGAGCGTTCTGAACCCCGCGACCAGAGTTCCCGTCCCGGCCATGGCTTGCAGCCATGGGGATTTTTATTTTAACCGGCCCTGGGCCCCCCCCACCTCATTCACCAACTTCCACTGAAAAGCACGGTGGAACATGGTCAACCACCACGACTGACACAGCAAGGGGCCTTCATCCAGTCGTGTTGTGATTCAAATTTGCTCCATTGTGGTGACCAAAGACACGCTTACAAATGAGGCTATTATCTTGGACTCTTGAATTCACACCCGGTTAAACAAAATAAACTTTTAATTAAAAGGGCCGTGAACTATTGTTGATGGCCTTCATATTAACCTGGTAAGAGTCCAGAGGTCACACGTGTCTTTTTAAGACCTGGGTTTAAGAAAATCCAACAACAGAAAAATACACATGTACCACCAAAGCATAGAAAATACACCATTCGATACATTATTATTATATGCTGATGTGAAATTCAGTCATTCGAAGTCTTAAGCCACAGGTGAGGAGAAACTTGTTACGGATTCATTGGCAGCATCAGGCAGCAGGGTGGCGCCGTGGCAAAGCTCGTGCCTCACAGCACGAAGGACCTGGGTTCGATTCCCGACTTGGGCTCCTTTCTGTGTGCAGTTTGTATTCTCTCTGCCTGTTCTGCATGAGTTTCCTCCCATAGATAAAAAAAAACATACTACCATGTAATAAGGTTGGAAAAAAACGTACCACATGGACAAACCCAAACCATAAACACGGTTGAATTCCAAACAAATAAACTGAAAAAGAGACGTTTAATTATGCGTGTCACCTTATGAAACGGCTGCATTTCTGCTTGGCAAATAATGAATTGAAACCTGAACGAGACGCAACACGAACGCGCAGAAAGGACAGACGCAAGAGCATTCCAGGTGTGGGTGGGGAGGGAGGTATCATCTACCGATGTACTAGCATTTGACAAATTTAGCCCTCTAATTACTTTTGGCCAAATTTATCGTTAAGTAAATTGTCACTGGGGACTCCCCCACCCACTGCTAACATCAGTGGGGAATTAGGCTGCCACCTTTTCCCACAATACCAACGCAGACACATTACTCAGTGGGCCCAGGTCTGTTCTCAAGGCTGTGCAGTCTCCTGTAGTAAATGTCACACGCCAAAACCGGTGCCAGGTCCCCCAAGCGCACATGCTGATGCCAGGACTATCCGTGTCAAACCCGGACAGGTGGCAACCCGTGGTAAAGTGATATCTAAACCGGTCTTGCCCCGCCTTCACCCCAAGCCCCCCAACTTCACCTACTCGCACTGACCAATGTGGTGAAGTATGGTCAAACAAGTCCCATGACTAATACAGTGGGGAGAGGCCTTCATCCAGCAGTGGACTTAAAAACGGTTGTAATTGATTATTACTACTAAGTGTACATCTGGTGAATACGGCTGTACACGGCGCGTGTGGTGCGTGTTTAATGGGGGACAGACACAAGAGACGGGCAGGACAAAGTGAATGGTGCCCCCTCGTGAAGCGATTCCAAGCTGCCGCTAGTGCAAGGTGCGAGAGACGCGGTCGGGGCTGGCGACGTTTGGCGACCTCTGTCCGGGGTTGCCAATTGGCAACCCTCGACTCACAATGTGACAATCGCCTCCGCCATCAGCGGGAACCCAAGGTGCAGCAGCATCGCTACCGAAGGGACATGACAAGAACAATGATGTCGGCAGGGGGGTTACGGGAGGATAGACGATCCTGCCATTGTGTGGTTAGTGTTGAGCCAGTGTAATGTGTGTAGTGTGTGTGTGTGCAATGTGTGTGTGTAATGTGTGTAGTGTGTGTGTGTAGTGTGTGTGTAGTGTGTGTGTGGTGTGTGTGTAATGTGTGTGTGTGTAATGTGTGTAATGTGTGTAGTGTGTGTAATGTGTGTGTGTAATGTGTGTAGTGTGTGTGTAGTGTGTGTGTGGTGTGTGTGTAATGTGTGTGTGCCACAGAACCGGTAACACAGCGGGCGTGACGGGTGTACAACAATGCGTGGCACGGGAGGGAATGTGGTGACGGCGGTGTGGGGGGTGATGGTGGCGGTGTGTGGGGGTGATGGTGGCGGTGTGGGGGGTGATGGTGGCGGTGTGTGGGGGTGATGGTGGCGGTGTGTGGGGGTGATGGTGGCGGTGTGTGGGGGTGATGGTGGCGGTGTGTGGGGGGTGATGGTGGCAGTGTGGGGGGTGATGGTGGCGGTGTGGGGGGTTATGGTGGCGGTAGTGTGGGGGGTGATGGTGGCACTGTGTGGGGGTGATGGTGGCGGTGTGGGGGGTGATGGTGGCGGTGTGTGGGGGGTGATGGTGGCGGTGTGTGGGGGGTGATGGTGGCAGTGTGGGGGGTGATGGTGGCGGTGTGTGGGGTGATGGTGGCGGTGTGGGGGGTGATGGTGGCGGTGTGTGGGGTGATGGTGGCGGTGTGGGGGGTGATGGTGGCGGTGTGTGGGGGGTGATGGTGGCGGTGTGTGGGGGGTGATGGTGGCGGTGTGGGGGGTGATGGTGGCGGTGTGGGGGGTGATGGTGGCGGTGTGTGGGGGAGATGGTGGCGGTGTGTGGGGTGATGGTGGCGGTGTGATGGTGGCGCTGTGGGGGGTGATGGTGGCGGTGTGTAGGGGTGATGGTGGCGGTGTGTGGGGGGTGATGGTGGCGGTGTGTGGGGGGTGATGGTGGCGGTGTGGGGGGTGATGGTGGCGGTGTGATGGTGGCGCTGTGGGGGGTGATGGTGGCGGTGTGTGGGGGTGATGGTGGCGGTGTGTGGGGGGTGATGGTGCCGGTGTGGGGGGTGATGGTGGCGGTGTGGGGGGTGATGGTGGCGGTGTGGGGGGTGATGGTGGCGGTGTGATGGTGGCGCTGTGGGGGGTGATGGTGGCGGTGTGTGGGGGGTGATGGTGGCGGTGTGTGGGGGGTGATGGTGGCGGTGTGTGGGTGGTGATGGTGGCGGTGTGGGGGGGTGATGGTGGCGGTGTGATGGTGGCGCTGTGGGGGGTGATGGTGGCGGTGTGTGGGGGTGATGGTGGCAGTGTGGGGGGGTGATGGTGGCGGTGTGTGGGGGTGATGGTGGCGGTGTGTGGGGGTGTGGGGGTGATGGTGGCGGTGTGGGGGGTGATGGTGGCGGTGTGGGGGGTGATGGTGGCGGTGTGGGGGGGTGATGGTGGCGGTGTGGGGGGGTGATGGTGGCGGTGTGGGGGGTGATGGTGGCGGTGTGGGGGGTGATGGTGGCGGTGTGGGGGGTGATGGTGGCGGTGTGGGGGGTGATGGTGGCGGTGTGGGGGGTGATGGTGGCGGTGTGGGGGGTGATGGTGGCAGTGTGGGGGGGGGGGGGGGGCGCTGCCTCGCGTGTGGATCAGAGAGGACTCCGGTCGATGCTGTTGCCCCACAGCTGAAACTACCAATGCCCACGGCTACCGCTAAACTTACCCAGCGTCAACATAAAAGATTGTGTTGTGCCCCCGGGTGGGTTTTAATTAAAACAAGGCGTTAGAATGTGATCTCAAGGGCCTTGAGTGATAACAAGAAGCTCAACAATAAACCACGACCAAGACTACGGCAGTGTGACAAACACTGTCGCCTCAGAATCAGAACACTCGACCTGCAAGTGCCCCAACAACCACGACCAACACAGTCACCAACAACATGAACACGGCAACAACTTCTAAACCAACAACCACCAACACAGCAACCACCATTACAACAACCACCACCATTACAACAACCACCACCACCACCATTACAACAACCACCACCACCACCATTACAACAACCACCACCACCACCATTACAACAACCACCACCATTACAACAACCACCACCACTGGACCCGTGCACCGAACCCGGCCGCGCTTTTGTTTCCTCGGCAGAGGCCCCGTCGCCATGGAGACGCCCGCGCTGCGCCGCTGCTCTGAGCCCCAAACTCCCCACGCACCCCCCCCCCACGCACCCCCCCCCCCCACGCACCCCCGCCACGCACCCCCCCCACGCACCCCCGCCACGCACCCCCTCCACGCACCCCCTCCACGCACCCCCGCCACGCACCCCCCCCCCCGCACCCCCTCCACGCACCCCCGCCACGCACCCCCTCCACGCACCCCCGCCACGCACCCCCTCCACGCACCCCCCCACGCACCCCCGCCACGCACCCCCTCCACGCACCCCCCTCCACGCACCCCCCCCACGCACCCCCGCCACGCACCCCCGCCACGCACCCCCGCCACGCACCCCCGCCACGCACCCCCCCCCCGCACCCCCCCCGCACCCCCCCCCGCACCCCCCCCGCACCCCCCCCCACGCACCCCCTCCACGCACCCCCCCCACGCACCCCCCCCACTACCCCCCCCCCACTACCTCCGCCACCCCCTCCACTACCCCCCCCCCACCACCCCCTCTACTACCCCCGCCACCCCCTCCACTACCCCCACCACCCCCTCCACTACCCCAGCCACTACCCCTACCACCTCCTGTTATACAAACACAGACATAACTTCAACCGTGTTGATGGGTACAAACTGAGTAATCATTGGAAAGATGTTATTAACCATGTAAAAAAGACTTAACTACACATATTTGGACCATCTTATTTGACAGGCACTATTTTACTTTACCGAGTGTTGACATCCCCAGCGTTTAACAGCACTCTCCCTTTTTGTATTTGGATTGTCAACCAACACCGGGTACGACTTGTACTACTGTTGTTCTCTTTTAGCCCCTCCCCCAACACGTTCCATTCATTGGCTACCACATTCAGATAAGCCCCTCCCCCCTTAACTTGTATTTAAGAGCTCGTCTCTTAGAATTTTGCCTCACTGGTTACAGTAAATCTAGCTGTGACGGTCCCAGTTGATGACGGAGACTTGTGTTGCCTCCGAAACGTCGTGATTTATAATTTTTTTTTTTTTTTTCTATTATTATTTCTATTATTTTTATTATTTATTTTTACCTACGTGATTTTACCGAAAAAACCTAAGAGCATGAATCCTTGCAGTCACGAAAGCTTCAAATCTAGAACCACTTCATCAAACGCAACTCTTTTAGAACTACCGCCACTTCCTCCTCCACTTATACAGCCCCCTCCAAACAAAGATCCCCCCTGTAGCCTTCACAGACTGCTGGGGCAAGTGCTGTTCGCGAGCAGCGCCTATGAAGGCCGGCACGGCACCACCACCACCTCTTAGTTAGTAGCCTCTACGACGTAGACACAGGCAGGAGGGGTCCTGTAGACGCACGGCGAGACACGATACGAGGGACAGGTGGCAGGCAATGAGACACACAGAGACAGGGAGACAGAGACAGGGAGACAGAGACAGGGAGACAGAGACAGGGAGACACACAGAGACAGGGAGACACAGAGACAGGGAGACACACCGAGACAGGGAGACACACACAGACAGGGAGACACACAGAGATAGGGAGACACACAGAGACAGGGAGACAGAGACAAGGAGACACACAGAGACAGGGAGACACACAGAGACAGGGAGACAGAGACAGGGAGACACAGAGACAGGGAGACACACAGAGACAGGGAGACACACAGAGCCAGGGAGACAGAGACAGGGAGACCGAGAGACACACAGAGACAGGGAGACACACGGAGACAGGGAGACAGAGAGACAGGGAAACACAGAGACAGAGACACACAGAGACAGAGAGACACAGAGACAGGGAGACACACAGAGACAGGGAGACACACAGAGACAGGGAGACACAGAGATAGGGAGACACACAGAGATAGGGAGACACACAGAGACAGGGAGACAGAGACAGGGAGACCGAGAGACACACAGAGACAGGGAGACACACGGAGACAGGGAAACACAGAGACAGAGACACACAGAGACAGAGAGACACACAGAGACAGGGGGGCACGGACGCTGGGGAACACGTGGAGATTGGCGCAGACAGTAAGGGGGGGGGGGTGCGAGGGGGGCACTGTTACGCGCACTTTGTCGCACGCGTTCGAGACGGCACCGTCTACAGCAACTCTCTCCACCTCCTCCATAACCTTCACCATCTCCTCGGGCCACAACGACACCACCACCACAGCAATATCCTCAATCATCTCCGATAGCGACGTCTACACCGCCGCAATCACACACCTGTAACCATGGGAGCGCGGCTGCCACGACACAAAGTCTATCATCTCGCTCTGCAGATAACAACAACAATGGCAACAGCAGCAGCAGCGGCGGCAGCGACTTCCCTCAAACCCTCCCGTGGCCCCAGGGAGCAAGGCGCCGCCTTACCTGGGGGCCTGCAGCCACCACCACCACCACCAGCTCCTTCTCGCGGAGCACGAAACGGAGAGCTCCGGGGGTCGGGGGGGGGGGGGCACAACTAGACACGGGGGGCCCGAACCCCCTGGACGGAACCCGTCTGGGCCCCCGAGTCGCACACGCGGACAGCGGCGCGGCCCGGGGCGACGGGGGGAGGAGGAGGAGGGAAGCGGCGTCGCCTCTCGGCCTCCCGCGGGGCCCTTTTGTGCGAGCCCCCCTCGGCCCCTCCCCCACACCCCCAGCCAGAGCGAGAGGCTCCGCGGCGCCTACAGCAGCAACACAAAGACGATGGGTCCCCCCCTCCTCTCTCTCTCTCTCTCTCCCCGCTCCCCCTCCTCCTCCTGCCCGCCGCGCCTCCGGGACCCCGAGGCCCCGAGGCCCCAGCACGGCCCAGCGGGGCCCGGCCCCCGTCGCCGAAGGAGCGAGGGATTCGGTCGTCCAGGGGAGCCCATCACACATCCTGGTTTGCCCAAGAGACGTCGTGCTTTTGAATTCGCGGTCCTGGACAATCCGGAAGTCGTCTCCCAACACAAACAACCACGAAAAGTCGAGACGCGTGTCAAGTTAACCCCGTGGGGACTCGAGGGACCGGAGTCGGTCACATGGCGTGCTCCCTTCTTCCCACGTAATGCCCCCCGCACTTTCATCTCAGCAGTGGCAGCCACCAGCGGGCAGTGCGGCACTGGGGGCCCATGGCCGCAGGGCAACCTTAAGCCGATTTGTGCTCCCCCCCCTCCCTCGAGCCTGCGGCCACTCTCTAAGGTGGACGGGATTCAGTACCGAACGTCCCAAGCCTCGAGACTCAGCGAGGCTTGCCTGGAACAACACCAGCGGCACCGTCAATAAACACCAGCGGCACCGTCAATAAACACCAGCGGCACCTTCATTGCCGAATGGGGGGGGGCCTGCGGCTCTCGGTGGCGAAGTGTGGCCGCTGAGTGCCGTGAAGTTCGCTACCAGACACGGGGGGGCGGGGGGGGGGCAGCTGAGCACACCGACACAACGCGGCGGCGGTGTCACCAGCTATGTCAACAGCTATGTCAACAGCTATGTCAACAGCCAAGACGACGGCGACTGCTGCTGTAGGGCCACTGCGGCCGAACCCGACACCGGAGAGGAAGCACACAGCCCACACACCCAGCCCACACACCCAGCCCACACACACACACAGCCCACACAGCCCACACACCCAGTAACTCACACACACAGCCCACACACCCAGCCCACACACCCAGTAACTCACACACACAGCCCACACACCCAGTGACTCACACACACAGCCCACACACCCAGTAACTCACACACACAGCCCACACACAGCCCACACACCCAGTAACACACACACACAGCCCACACAGCCCACACACCCAGTAGCTCACACACACAGCCCACACCCAGTAGCTCACACACACACAGCCCACACAGCCCACACACCCAGTAACACACACATAGCCCACACCCACACACCCAGCCCACACACCCAGTAACACACACACCCAGTAGCTCACACACACAGCCCACACACCCAGTAGCTCACACACACAGCCCACACACACAGCCCACACCCAGTAGCTCACACACACAGCCCACACACCCAGTAGCTCACACACACAGCCCACACACCCAGTAGCTCACACACACAGCCCACACACACAGTGACTCACACACACAGCCCACCCAGCCCACACACCCAGTAACACACAGCCCACACCCACACACCCAGCCCACACACACAGCCCACACACCCAGTAGCTCACACACACAGCCCACACACCCAGTAGCTCACACACACAGCCCACACCCAGTAGCTCACACACACAGCCCACACACACAGTGACTCACACACACAGCCCACACACCCTGTGACTCACACACACAGCCCACACACAGCCCACACACCCAGTAACACACACACAGCCCACACACCCAGTAGCTCACACACACAGCCCACACACCCTGTGACTCACACACACAGCCCACACACCCAGTAGCTCACACACAGCCCACACACCCAGTAGCTCACACACACAGCCCACACACCCAGTAGCTCACACACACAGCCCACACACCCTGTGACTCACACACACAGCCCACACACCCAGTAACACACACACAGCCCACACACCCAGTAGCTCACACACACAGCCCACACACCCTGTGACTCACACACACAGCCCACACACCCAGTAGCTCACACACAGCCCACACACCCAGTAGCTCACACACAGCCTGTGAAAGGGCTTCGGTCTTTACCTCCCTCTCTCTGCTAGGGAGCGAGGATCCCGGCGAGGTAAGACGGGATGAGACACCCGTGAGCCTCACCTGGTGAGCGAGGCGAGCGAGGTGAGCCTCACCTGGCGAGCGAGGCGAGCCTCACCTGGCGAGCGAGGCGAGTAAGGTGAGCCTCACCTGGCGAGCGAGGCGAGTAAGGTGAGCCTCACCTGCGACTCGCGGCCTGGGGAGAAGCAGCGTGCGGCGGTGACAGCGCCTCCAGCGGCTGTGATTGGCGGCTGTGACGTCACCACTCGCCTCCCTGTCGCCTCCCTGCTCACCTGCCCCCCCCCCCCCCCCTGTCTCGTCTCACTCTCCTGCCCCCCTGCCCCCCTCTGTCTCGTCTCACTCTCCTGCCCCCCTGCCCCCCTCTGTCTCGTCTCACTCTCCTGCCCCCCTGCCCCCCTCTGTCTCGTCTCACTCTCCTGCCCCCCTGCCCCCCTCTGTCTCGTCTCACTCTCCTGCCCCCCTGCCCCCCTCTGTCTCGTCTCACTCTCCTGCCCCCCTGCCCCCCTCTGTCTCGTCTCACTCTCCTGCCCCCCTCTGTCTCGTCTCACTCTCCTGCCCTGACTCCCTGCCCCCCTGCCCCCCTCTGTCTCATCTCACTCTCCTGCCCCCCTGCCCCCCTCTGTCTCGTCTCACTCTCCCGCCCTGACTCCCTGCCCCCCTCTGTCTCGCCTCACTCTCCTGCCCCCCTGCCCCCCTCTGTCTCGTCTCACTCTCCTGCCCTGACTCCCTGCCCCCCTCTGTCTCGTCTCACTCTCCTGCCCCCCTGCCCCCCTCTGTCTCGTCTCACTCTCTGCGAGGTTCCGTGGACGCGCGCGCTCACGGACTCGGGGGAGTCACGGGGCCACTCGACTCCCCGCAGGTGAACAAGACAAAGGTCGCCCGTATAGGCTGTTGGGGCAAGTACTCCAAGCGAGAACCTATTACGGCCCGGAGGTCAATAAGACAAATACACACGCGTGTGCATAACTCGTGTACCAACACACGTGTACAAAACAAGACAAAGATCCCCCGTATAGCCTTAATAGACTGTTGGGGCAAGTGCTGTTAGCGAGTACACAGAACGCATGTACACACACCTATATACATTGCACACACGAGTACGCTCCGCACATACACGTGTACAGTACACAACATACCCACTCGTGTGTGTATATATCCATACACATACGCCGGTGTATACAAAGACAAAACACGACCTGTTTACACCTGTACAAACACGCAAGTGGACTGTACACACAAAGACAGAGACATCCCGTGCAACTGGTGGGGCAAGTGCTGTGTGCGAGACCACCTGAGGTCGGGGCGACGCACGAGGGAGTGGTGCGACCGATGTCATGGTCGGCCGTCTTTGTCTCCCGCGTGCCGACGTTTACACACCGCACCAGGAACTCATTTAAGGCTGAGTCGACCTCGCGGAGGTTCACAGGATCCCTCGTCTCGTCACTGACGCTAGCCGTGGTTGCGAAGAGAACAGATGGCGAGGTTCACAGGGGGTGCTGATGGTGATGATGATGAAAGTTGTGATGGTGTGAGTTGTGATGCTGGTGGTGGTGGTGATGTGTGTCGTGTGGAGTCAGTGATGTTGACTCAGGTTTCGCTGTTTGTTCAGCGGCAGCCGTGACGTCACCCTGACAGCTGACGGGTCCACGACTGAGGCTGGACTCAGGAAGGGAGCAGGGGACGACCCCTCAACACCACAAGCCAGACTCGAACCACTGCTGGATGAAGGCCTCTCCACGCTGCAACGACAACTGCTCACACGGGCTGCCCGTGTGAGTTCGGGTTGTGATGGGCTAAAGCGTGGCGACTCCCGTCTCTTCCAAGCCGTGGAAGAAGAGACTAAAAATAGCCTCCAGAGCTCCCTCTAGTGGAGCCTCTTCGGCCAGCAGCGGCGCGAGCACGTTCATTGCTGGCCTGCGCCTTCACCACAACGGGGACGACAAAGGGCGACTGACTGCCTGAGCGAGGCCACGCTGACACGCGTGGCGCGGGCGGCTCCCCCCGCATTCCTGGAGCCTCCCTCTCTCTCGCCTCCAGCCTCGGCAGCAGCAGCAGCTGCTGCTGGAGTCGAGTTTAAAGTTGGCTTCAGCTCAGCGGCTGGCGGAGAAACAAAATAGAAGCACGTGACGCGACGCCACGAGGCCATAACCTCCCCCGGGCCCCGCACCCACGGGTGCCGGGGTGGTGAAGGTGACGCCGGCACACAGACAAAGGTGCCCCATGTAGACTCGTAACAGGCTGCTGTTGGGGCAAGTGCTGTTAGCGAGCACCTAAAGAAGCCGAAATGGAACATTTGGGTGGGATGGGGGGGCGAGCACGATAACCCAGCCGCCTTCGTCTCCCCAGGTGGTGAGTGGCCAACACCATGACCGGTCGACTCCGTCTGATGTTTTCACACCACACCAGGTACTCATTTAAGGCTGAGTGGACCTATGGGATAGAGGTGTAGGACCGGTTAAAGTATACGTCACCGATGTCGGTTGTAGACGAAAAATTAACTCGAGTAACAGAGTCCGGAGCGCAGCGCGCTAACACGCGCGTGTTTGTGTGTGCGGGGCATAGCACAGGCAGACTCATCTTCACGCGAGTACCAAATTCGGTCTGTTAACAATGAGCACTGGGGGAGACAAAGGCGGCCGGGCGTGGTGTGAGCCACCCACCGCCTCGTGTGCCGTGCCGGCCTTCATGGGTACTGCTCGCTCGCGGCTCTGTCTCTAGCAGCTCTGTCTCTAGCAGGCAGTTACAGGTTATGGGGGGCGGGGGGGGGGCACCGTTGAAGTGGGCCAGGGGTCGGCGACCTTTCAAAGCAGAAGAAGTAGCAGAGCACGCAGAGATACTTGTGCACGAACACAGCAGCTGGTGTACAGCAAGATGACAACAACAACAACGCACATTCTCACTTAAATAAACTAGATAGGTGATGGGATAAACTGCGTCCATTTAGTTTGTCCCCCCCCCCTTAGTTATGCGTTAACAACACAGTTTGTACAAATTGTTGTCACCAAGACATGCCATCGTCATCCATTCCCTGCCACAATGAATACATTATCTTTACGTTAAATTATCTTTAAGATTTCAGTTTCATAACAAAGGCTGCTCATAAGGGGCAGCCAAAGAGCTGCAGGTTGCCGACCGCTGAACTCGGGACCCCCCCCCCCCGTGTCCGTCGCTCGGCTACAGCCCCTGCACCGCTCCTCCGCATCTCCGCGGGGTCAGCTACCGCCCGACCTCGCACGCGGGAAGTGCTTGGGGTCACTCAGGACCCTAACCCGCACCGGGGGTCTGCTTTGGGGTTAGGTTAGGTTTGGGGGTAGAGTTTGAGTCAGGGCGTTGTTCTTCTCTCGTACGGATATGGATTGAGTAGCAACTTGAAATCGGAGTCCGGGTCTTGAGTCATGCAGCTACTGCCTCGGGAGCCCAGCCAGTGCGGTGGACACCGCTCGCCGTGGCCGTGAGTCCACCACGAGTTCACCACGACTCCACCACGAATTAACGAATTCACCACGAGTTCACCACGAGTTCACCACGAATTCACAAGTTCACCACGAGTTCACCACGACTCCACCACGACTCCACCACGAATTAACGAATTCACCACGAGTTCACCACGAGTTCACCACGACTCCACCACGACTCCACCACGAATTAACGAATTCACCACGAGTTCACCACGAGTTCACCACGAATTCACAAGTTCACCACGAGTTCACCACGACTCCACCACGACTCCACCACGAATTAACGAATTCACCACGAGTTCACGACTCCACCACGAATTAACTAATTCACCACGAGTTCACCACGAGTTCACAAGTTCACCACGAATTCACAAGTTCACCACGAATTCACAAGTTTACCACGAATTCAGCACGATTTCACGAATTCACCACGAGTCCACGAATTCACCACGAGTCTACGAATTCACCACGAGTTCACCACGAATTCACCACGAGTTCACAAATTCACCACGAGTTCACAAATTCACCACGAATTCACCACGAGTTCACCACAAATTCACCACAAGTTCACCACGAGTTCCACTGTTGCGGTGCGCTGTCTCCTCGTTTGCTGCCACATCTGATCAACAACCTCTTCTGCCCCCCCCTTCTCTCCACCCCCCTCGCCTGCAGCGGATGTATCTATAATGAGTCGCTCTTTATGGCTCCGCGCGTTACTCATTAGCGAAGGGCGCCGGACTCGACCGCACGGGTCAATTGTGAGGATCGGGAGACCCCCCCCCCCCCCCCCCGCAGAGAGGGGCCGTACAAAGGGAGATCCGCACTACTCAGCGGGGGTCCCAGCCCCCCCCCCCCCCCGAGGCTTGACACGGAACGCGCTCAAATATTTGTGATGGTGGTGGTAACAGTGATAACGATGGCCATGATTAATGTTGGTGATGGTCGTGGTGATGATGATGCTGTTGATGTTCATGACATTGATGATGATGGAGATGACCCGTCCCAGCGTCGTCATCTTTGTGTTGCATCAGACATCACCAACCACGACCGCCACCACCGCACACCCCGGCGCGTAATTGAGACTGACAGCTCCTCCATCATCGCGGCAGCGCAACGGCACGGGCGGTGAGACGGCGCGAGAAACAGTACTTACAGCACGTCAGTTCGTGTACAGCACGGAGTCAGCACGGAGCAGTTCGTTGAGATCACAGGGCAGGTTGCGGGCAGCACAGGAGTCGGCACGGCGCGTCTCTTCGCGTGTCGCCGACAGGTGAACGCGGCGGTGTGATTGGTTTTACCTTGACTCATGCGCACCCCACGCCCCCATCACGCAGGTATCACGCCCTCCACCCCCCCCCCCACTGCCCACACCGCGATGGTTTTCACCCCGGAGCCTCGGGGTTCAGCACTGGGGCGTCTGGTCTGGCAGCCTCGCGCACATTAACTCTGTGCCTGTGCACTCAGAGTGAGACAAAGATCCCCCGTAAAACCTGAGCATACTGTAGGGGCAAGTGCTGTTAGCGAGCACCTATGAAGGCCGGCACGGCACCTGTGGGGGTGGGTGGTCACACAACACCTTTGTCTCCCGAGTACTGATATTTACACACCGCACCAGGTTTCAAGTTTCAAGTTTCCTTTTATTAGGTGGAGCCCTGTGAGCCATGCGGCTCTTGAGTCGGGTGCAACCGCAACAAACAGAATAAGAACAGAGAAACATCTTAAAGCGACGACGCGCAACAG